TTTTCATTTTTTTATTATTACATGTTTTTGACTTTATTGTACTTTTTGTCAAGATCTCAAATGGGATACGATAGCAATAAAGAATTACTTACTTACACTAGATACCAGCCGATACCCCCCCCCCCCCGCTCATAGAGACTGTGTATTACATTTGATTATAGTTTCTGGGCTCCCTGTGCTTAAACGTTGTATTGATCTTGAATGTTGATCAACCTCTGCTATATACCGGTAGTAATGCGAAATAATATCCTTATGCTATCATGCACTTAATTAAAATTAAGAAAAAGTTAAATTCACACATTCGCATGTGCCATTTATATAACGAAGACGCAACACCAGTTCAAAGTGAGACACTTCCTGTCTCAGTCAAGTACTTGTGCAAGTAAGTACTGACCCGCCCTTTTCCAGCATGCGACACAATTTTAATCTTAGCCAAAATTTTACCTGCTTTCCTAGTTCTAATAAAATCAATTCATATACTACATTGTTAAAAATCTTTTATACTACATAGGGAAAAAGATCATAAACATTTAAGAGCACCAGACAAACACATTTTCGACGTATTCAGCAGGAAACCCAAAGTGGTCAACGACCTGCTTTAAAAGCTCTGATTTATCCTATGGCGTACATATGGGAAAGGAATTTCACATCATCATTTGTGTTTTGATCTGTAGTAACTTTAGTAACAGAATTGTCTTATTTGAAACGCAATGATTTCGCCTATCTACATTTATCATCACGGAAACGCTTCGTCGCCAGGCAAGGTGTATTTTACAGTATCCAATAGTTTGCGTTTGCAAATTCTCGTCTAATTTCAGTGTAATGTAAATTAATTAATTACCATATTCACATTTCAGTTTTTGCTGAATAGTGGAATCCGCTAATTTAACCAAATCCATGTAAACAAGTATGTAAATGTATGATATAGTTTAACACCCAATGAACATGCTTCAAATATCAAAACAGTGGAATAAATCCTCTTGTGAACTGAATACGCTTACATGACTATGATGTCACGCGTTTAGAAACAAGTATCATCATGATTGGATATAATTTACATGGGGCATGTTGAGGAAATAGTGTGGTATATATGTATTTCTGAAATCACTGTATGTTGAACATACCTGACAGAAATGGGTTTGATTTTCAGCGTGACCACTTGTGCGCATCAGCATCTTTATGCTGTACCATCGACACTGTGTTCGGATACCTGAAAACATTACAATGGTGTAACTTTGATTTTTACCCCATTAATGACAAAATATAGATAATAATTAAATATATATATATATATATATATATATATATATATATATATATATATATATATAATACGTGTGAGAAAACGTTGTGTTGCTAAACTCTCGCCGAAAACTAGACTAGACTAGGTCTCGCCGAAACTTCAATGGCATCATAATTTATTATCAAATCGTGTTTTTCAGCTATTAGTACGTTGTGTATATCGCCCTCAAACGACGACGCTCACAATCACTGAGAGGTATCCCAGACAAAACGCATACTGTAGAATACGTTATTTTATGGTATTAATTTTCGCTACATAGAAATTTTTGGTGTTTTGTATGGATTTTATTTTCCCCGAATCATTCCTTCAATGAATATAGCGAAAATCAAGTATTCTATGCGTATTTTGTTAAGGAAGTTTGAGGGAAACACGACTATGCATAATACACTTGGCGCGCGGTTGTGACATTTCCTTGCAAACAAGTCTGTAAATTTCGACCGAAGAACTTATGCAAAACACCGTCTGTAACCGAACAAGGTATATTTCTGGTGGAGAAAAGTAAGTTACATTTTACAAAAATGCAATACAAACAACAAACTATAGAGGGCGTGACCATCCCAAAATAATGTGTTCAGTTCTTCTTTTCGATGACTTTTTTCTATCGAAGTTTTGTTAATCCTATATCTGTATATATATTTTTTTGTAGATATTTATTACAAAGCAACAGGCCATTAGCCCAAAGAGCAAATACAGTTTCACTTAACAATTGTAACAATAGAGAAAACAAAAATCATTTAAGTTCTGTTTTTCATGGCGAAATAAACATATAACTCGCTAACTGACTTAAAACTACATCATTTCTTGAACTAATGAGCGAGATAAATTTGTTGTAATTGGGGTTGGTGCGGAATCATACAGGCAAAAATTCTGCTCTACTACGTTGATAACGATGGCAAACAGCTATAAAATGATATTCGTTTTCAACATAAAGTTGATTTCGTTCAACACACACAATTTATTATCGAGGGGGACATTTTCATGTCTTCCCTTTTCAATACGCAAATTGTGAGAAGAACAATGTAACCTTGACAATGCAGCTCTGGCGTTAATCCTATAAGTAGTAAGCATAACAATTGAATATAACATGCCTTGTTTTGTACCTGCTTATGTGAGGAATTGAATAAAACGTTTTTCTCGGACAGTTTTTAGGAAGTCATGATATATATTTTTTTCAACTATACATAATCGGAATAATTCACTTGGGGTACTTAGTTTTCATTAGGGGTCTCAACTGTTTATATTTTGACCACTTTTTCAATCCAAGATGGCCACCAAACACAATTACTTGTTGGCGGAACAGTTGTGGTTTACTATAATACTGTAGAATACTGTATTTTCGTTTGTATTTAATTTTCGATATTTTCGCTGAAGGAATGATACAGTGAAAATAAAATCCAGCGAATATACTTTTTTTTTTCCTATATTTTACATTCAACATTCAAAATAAATTCCATACAAAACACCAAAAATGTCTTTTCAGCGAAAATTAATTCTAAGCTAAAATAAAGTATTTTACAGTACATTTCAGGCATTATTATCTCTATGGAAACAAGTTCGGGTACCCCTAATTTGTATTTAATATTAAAAATTTGGAGTGCTTTTAACATTTCTACTTGCTAGTTTGCCATGTCCGCCCATAAACAATGTTTTTGTTATCAAGTAAACTGCACGTGTAACTGCTTCGTTCCCGGAATTTGTCATGGTCTAGGGCCCTCTAGAGTTAAGAATGAATAAAAACCAACAGTTGAAATACGTCTCTTGTAAAGTTTTATCATTTAAAACCGCTAAGAGCCTTTATTGCGAATCAATAAATTTTACGACATAGTTTATTTATTCATTAATTTGGTGGCCTCTTGCTTTTCCAATATACGTAGTTGTCTGTTTATAGTAAATTATAATTTTAACTAATTCTGTTTTGTTTTATTTAATAAACATATATGTATTCTGTTTTTTTTTCCATTTTGTTGTTTGTATAATTCGCAGTCATGCTGGTTTTATGAGTAACATGCAAATCATTTTCCCCGTCAGAGTAAAGTTTTTGTTACTAAGTGGTCGCCTTACTACTGTTTACTTGAAGGACCCTACGCGGCACTATTTTTCTAAGTGTACTTTATTCGATGCAGATTGTATATTTTAAGAAACTATTTATATTGCCGTTTTACCTAATGTTCTCATATATAAATAAATATTTCTTGATCCAGTGCTGCACGCAATAACATCAAATAGATTGGCGCGCGGATTGATATTAACTGAGTTCCGAAACTTTCACATGTAGGGAAACCATCATGGCGGAGCTCTGACAAGTGGCTGGCTGCTGATCTTCGGAGTTGAGACGAGGCTCTTGTACAGCGGGTGTTTACAAAATGCAGCATACCGTCCACTGATTTTGCGCCAATTGCTGACATTATTGCCGTCCTTATTATCCAATGTCGCAACAGAAAAGCGCAACGATGACGAAAGGACAGAGATCAACTAAAAACAGCCGAAACCTACGATATCTGAACCTGTCGTTCGCCGTAGACACGTCGAGTAAAAATAATGGTCGGAGACCTCACGGGGGATATAAAGGTAAGATTTCTGTTTAGTCGGCATATCACTGTTATAATTAAAGATACCCCGGTGTATCGTGCTATCCGTTTACTGCTTGGGGCTGTCTTCGTGTAAGACTGACAGTCCACTAAGACGCAACCTAAATATTTTATTGATAGTGTTTTACCTGATCGCAACCTATCAAATTCTCGTCTGCTTGTCGCCGAATACGTGTGTTGACAACACACCTGGACGACCAGAGTATCAGATTGTTGTCAGTTATATGTGTACAAAGCATTGCTGTTTGCGGATAGGTAATTATTAAAACGACATCGTCTGATTTATGATCGTAAAGTTCTAAACGGAATAAACGTTGGCCCTATATAAATAAATATAAATATGACGAAAAATGAAATAAATCAAGTGCAAGTCCAAGTGGGGAACACGACAGCGGTCATCTGCTGTACTGTTTTTACCAATCAAATAGTCATTTCGTTTACAATTTCCGCAAGTTTATCGGATCGGAAATTGTTTTGACATCACCTGAATACGAATTGTCAGTTCGCCGTGCATGTACAATTTAGTTGAACGTTCGTCAGTAGTAATTTGTTTACATAAGACACTCGACCCATTCTTGTCAGACATAGCGCTGTCAACATGTATTTCCACAACAGTAACACCCACACCACTGTGAGTATATAGTAGAGTGCTGTATAAACCACTCAACAAACTTGAAATTTAAGTCCACAATTTTGAATGTGAAGGCGAAAATTTGATGTTAAAAAATGTTAAAAAAAACAACAACAACAACAACCCCCAAAACAAACGAACTCCCAGATTTCTGAGACTGTAACTTTTTTACATTGAACAACCTAACAAGAGCTTTGTAATGAGGCCTAGTGAAGTGTGGGAATTTAAAAACTAAAATTTACGACTACTAGAAATCCGTACAAAGTGTGGGCGGTTTGCACTTTAAAAGAAAGACATGACGCAATTCTTGAAAGGATTAACAGGGTTATTAAGTTGAGTGAATTGGCTGTTGCTGTGGTTTTATGAAAAGCTTCTTAGCTACGTTTCTGATAACCATACAGCAAGCAGTGTTGCCTAAACTTCTCTAGGTGAAACCCATGTATTACAAAAGTGTATAGGTAAACCAACAATCACAATACTCAGTCTGCTTTGTTCAACGTGAGGAACAACTTTGAAAGAAGCCTAATTCCACTTAAATATCCGGATTAATAATATACAAAGTGTATTAAAATTCAGAAGTTGTTTTGAAATGCCTGTAATTCTTTGATGCTCGTGTTCTGATGTTTTCTTCTAAATCTGAAAAGCTTTGAAATGCCCTAAAGTCGTGAGTAGCATTCGTTGGAAATATTCCTCACACTTGGTTGCAATGTATTGCTAGCAAGTTGGTGTAATGTTACCTGGAACCTCCAAACTTACTGCATGAAAGCTTATCTGTAACATAACAGCCCGGTTATGCATTTGACACCACTGCCCCCACGCTGATAAATGTTGTTTTTTTGTTTATGGTGCATAATAGTAGTGTCAGAGTGTGGAAATTTAAGATGTTGACTGCCAGTCACGGCACGCAAACACTATGTACTGTTTTCACAGAGTTTTTTAGTGAGAAGTTGCATAACTGTAAAGTCCAACGCCGGCACAATTTGCAGTCAGTTGCACTATTCTTCCTTCAATCATGAACCATGACGACTTTTGGATTTTTCGGCCTTGTGTTATCATGTGAATGCATCAAACAAATCTTTATGAAAGCTTTAGTCGAGGCTGCATAATTAATTAGATGACAGCTGGGTGGGGTGGGGGGTTCACCTGTGTGAAAAGTTGTTGAATGAAAGAGGGAGATGATGTCAGAGCAACAGTAATTACTTTGCCAGATTGGATTGCTAAATTTTTCAACAAACTGTGCTCAAAAATAAATAAGAATTGCCTTTGATATGCAACATATAAGTTTCAGTGATTTGGATTAGAATGACGACATTCAGCGATGGGGACATGTTTACTACAAAGAGATACAGTATGGTCCAACATATTAAACTTAACATTCAGATAGCTTAAGCTAGCTTAGTATGCTTTTACATCTGCCACATGTGTGAGTAATCTGCTGATTATATCTCATACTAGTAAAATATGAATAAATATAAAAAATGAGTTGAAATGACACTCTCTTTAAAAATTAAATTTTTTGTAATAAAAGACAAAATCAACGATAGGCAGCTTGGGAGTTAATTTACCCTTGGAACTTTCATTTGGAATTAATTTTCGCTATTTTCGCTAAGGAATTATTCAGTGAAAATAAAATTCAGTGAATATACTCCCTTTTTCCTATATTTTACATTCAACTCATCAAAAATCAGTGAAAATTGATTCCATACAAAGCACTCAAAAATTAATTCCAGCTAAAATAAAGTATTTTACAGTATGCAAATTGTTGACCCACATAGTATACAATATATACCAAAGTACACAACTTGTAAAATACAAACATCAATATGTTTTATAGGTTGGTTTTGTGACTGGGTACCGGTAATTGAGGTACCAGTATTCTTTTTAAATTGATGTAATACTCCAAGACACCTGGCTTCCTGCAATTATTAATTAGCTCAATGCTGTCAACAGTGCTAAAATACATACAAAAATACATGTTTTAAAACCATCCATCAGTCCAAGCGGAAGGAATGCTTTTATAGTATATAAGTCTAAGCTGCACTGTTATACTCATATTTCCAAAGCTCAGTCAAAGTCAATGTAATTCATAAACTAAATGTATACTTGGTAGGGTGTGAGTTATTCCAGTAACAAGTAGTACTGAAAAATCCTTTAATTTACTGGTATTAATTTTTGGCTGTTTTGTTTATTTTCATTGAACTTTGATGAGTTTAATGTATAGTTTAGGAAAAAAGGTATTTTCTTTTCAAATTTCTTAATCAAAAGATTTGGTAAGAATTAGTGCCGTCAATGTCTGGTTTGAGATGTTATTTGTTTATTCTGATCTTGAATTCAATTAATTTTGTAGCTTTTTTTAAGTTTCATTTCAAGTATTTTCTAAGTAATCATATATTAAGTCATATTTCCATTTTTGGTTCAAAACAATGTGTACAAAAGCTAGAAATAATGTTTTACCAATATTTGTTTTAGTGGATGCGTGTTAAATCTTGTTCCACCAATACCCCCCAAACCATCTGCTGGATTGGAATGAAACATAGTTAGGATATTTCCTTGATGACGAATTTCTGATTAGTTGTTATAAATTCATGCATATAAATTAGATAATTTGCATAATCAATAAGCATTTTTCTAGTACACTAAAACATACTACACACGTGTTTGTGGAGATTTATGTGTGATACTAATAATATATATTAGTTTTAAATTATGATTATGATTGTACTTTTAGCTAATTTGAATTTCAATTTCGACATGACAACGGTTTGTATTCTTACATCAGTTCAAGTGGGTTGAAGCTTGGTACATGTACTTGCAATAGCTGCTTGGGATGTGATCAGTTTATAATTAATTTGAATATAAATTTGTATACTACTTCATTATTTCCATCATCACTGATAGCAGTTTGTCTAAGCGAATTGAAACTTGGTATATTTAAGCAATAAATTTAAGCCTGCTTGGTATACTGTAAAACCATTTACAGTGCCACAAAATTGTGCATGACTTACAGAGTATCGGTACATTATTTGCTGAATCGGTTTGTGCAAAATTGGGAGACCTATATATCATGCTGGGCTATGGTCTGGAATCTTTCTTTATAAAACTAACTGTGTTAATGTAATTAAGATTTGAAGGTAATTTATGATGTACTAAGTTGTTATAAAAATCATTGAGATGATATTTTGTTTTGTATTTATGTTACCCGTGACATGGAAGGATTAGTCATAATTTGTTGCATGTGATATTCAAGTGTTGCATTCATATTTTTTTCTTTTCACATAATGTGAATTTAAGTATACAAGGGGAAAAGTCTGTCTCGTCGTTCTCGTCGATAACCTTTTTTTGTGGTTACAATAACTCAAAACATTTTATCTGATATAAAATTATTTGCTAACCAGCATGAACTCTAAACCTAGTTCAATTTTGGTATGATTTACATATTCTTCTTTTGCTTAAATGTGACTAAAAGACATTTTTATTTTCAAACATGGGTATGTTCTTGTCAATATCAGATCTTTGCGTGGCTTAATTTGATCAAGCATTTTCCCTTCCAAATTTTTACCAGTATTTTGTATATTATTGTGTTCTTTTTGTAAATGATTATACATTTCATTTATATATATATTCTGTGATGAATTTTATTATTAATAAATTTACTTACGGACCTACAGATTAACATACCATCCTTTATGACATGACGCAACCCATCCGTCAGTCAAGACAAAAGTATGCAACAAACAGTATAGACCAGTAACAGTAGCATGGTATAATGGTTCTTCCAGTTTCGGATCCCAATCTCTGATTGGTGTACTTTCACTATGTGACGCAACTGACAGTGCAGACCACACAAAGAAACTCAATGCCACATGATAAAAATGAACATGTTGTTTTGAATCCATGCCATAACAGAAAAACCCATTAAGTCGGTCACTTTGCATACCAGAAGCCATGTCGAAGAGGGTGTTATGCGACACCTTCAAATTTATTCCTCCCAAACTCTTTACCTGTTATCTATGAGCATGGGCAAGATTATAATATATTTGTCACAGTATGTTATAAAGTGATTAGTATGAGGCACATTTTCACCATCTTAATCATCATCTATAACTAGGACGAAAGAAAAAAAAAACTATATTTGAATATTACATAGAAAGTAATTGATCCATGGAAAAGCGACAGCCATCGAATTGATTAGACAGGTGTTAATAGGTTCTTTCAGATGCATTGTAACTGCAGTTCAATAACTGCTGAGGCACTGTTGTTCACGCAATGCAGTAATAACTCTGTAAACGATCATGAAATGTTGGCTATGTCTGGGTGCTTTCTTCTGATTCAGTGGTAGATTATATGCT